AGTGAGTGGACCTGAGTGAGAACTCCTTGAGTCCTCAGGACATAACATGGATGATCACCAGCTCTGTTGTCCTGAGACTGTCCCACCATTATATGCATCAGTAGTGAAGTCAATTTTATTTTTCCTTTCCTGGGTAGAATATTTGATAGCAAACAATGCTTACTCTGGGCCAGAGTAGTCTGGAAAGAGCAAATAGAAGCTCACATTTAACTTGGGAGACCGCTGAATTTTTCTGAGAAAGGAAAATAAATATAAGGAATAAACTTTAAATATCAGTAGTGGGATGCAGGCTAGCCTTATTCTGACTTCTGGCTACCTCTCACTTGATTTTCCAATTAAGGCAGAAACAGAACATTTAAACTGAATGTGGCCGATTATGAGCTACAATATATATTTTTTAATTTAGAAAGTTGTGTGTAGGGGATAGCTGAGATAAGCTGTTTGAGGTATTTTGTTTACTCTGAACTAGAAAGTGTAATGATCCACTACCCTGAACATTGTTTAAAATGAAATTGCAAGTTCAACTATTCAAATTTTCTGAATAGGCCATCCTTTTTAGAATCGATGTAGCTTGAATTGATAATATCATACAAATTGCTAATAATCTAAGACTTTTTTCTTATTTCACACAGGCAAAGGGTTATCCAGGAGTTGCACATTTTCAGGTAGAATTTAGAAATACTATAATTAAAAGATTAATTGTAATCCAGCTAATACTATACAAACAATAGGGCTGTGTAATGCTTCAGTTTGAAACTGAAAATTGCTTCATCATATGTGGAAGCCTATACACATCTGCTGCCAACTTCTTTGATTATATACCTGTTTCACTGGGTCACTGACATATGTTGATATATCTTGGGGAAAAGTGCAGCTCTTTTATCAGATGGTGGGTTCACATTACTGCATATTGTGAAGCAACTTTTCAAAACAAAATCTAAACTATTGAACAGTCCTAATAGATAACAAATGAAGACTGTTGTTTTAAATTAAAAGCACAAGGGCCATTGCTTTGTTGTACATACTTTCTATGTTGCATAATATTCTCACAGCTGGACAATCTTCAGACAAAACTCTTTAAAATGAGAAAGGATTTTATACAGTACTACTTCTTTCTTACCACTGTTAACATCACAATCTTGGTAGGGAGATGTCTGCAAGACATGACATGTCATGAAACATAATTTAAAATTCCTGATCAGATTCTAATATTTGTGTCTCTTCAGAAGAGTTCCTGACAGCATAGGTAGCCATTATCCATTTTGTAGGACTTCTGGTGGCATAGTGGTTAGAATGCGGTATTTCAGGCTTATTCTGCCCACAGCTATGAAATCAATCCTGATGGACTTTAGGTTAACTCAGCCTTCCATCCTTTCAAGGTTGGTAAAATAAGGACCAAGATTGTTTGGGACAATATACTCACATTGTAAACGACTCAGAGTGCTGTAAAGCACTATAAAGTGGCATATAAGTTCTTAAATTGCTATATGCCACTCAGAGATTGCATCACAAAATGTGGAAATAAAATGGGCAATGTTTAGCTGGACAATGTTTTGTTTGCTGGTTGTTTGTTTCATAATTTTCAGGTGGAATGGCAGTAGGTATCCACAGGTTTGCAAATGACTTCAATTCCTATAACCTCCCACCCAGACATTCTGAAAAATTGGCTCAAATTGCATCCATTCCAGTACTGAAAGTTAGTACTGTAATGAAATCAGAGTTATTTTTCAAGCTTTTTGAGGAGAAGGTTAAGTATGAAAATGGAAGATGGTTGCTTACTAAAGCCATCTTTTTTTTTTTAGAAAATGTTTTAAAAAATAGAAGTAAAAACAAAAAATCCATTCTGGTAATCTTTTCATGTCATTTAAAAATGGCCTCTTGCTTTCAGTCCTTCAGAGAGTGAGCAAGAAGCAGTCCTCAGATATTGTCCAGAGTACAGGCTTACTACATTTCCTATAGCCTTCCATATACAACCTAGATACCACTGTATATATTTTTTCATTCAAATAAACAAAAAACCTCAATAATAAATAATGAGTACCTTCACTATGAAAACCAGTCTGGAGTAGTGATTAAGGCACTGAGCTAGAAACTGAGAGACTATGAATTTTATTTCCACCTTAGATACAAAATCAAATGAGTTATTTTGGGCCACTCTCTCGCAACCCTAATAAGGAGGAAACCAATGAAGGAATCAGGCATGGGCTGCTGGGGGTTTGCAGAAGTTTGGGAGAGCCTAGTTAAGATTCTGTGCAGTTCAGAGAACTTCCAAATCCCACTCCTGGCTGGCCCCGCCACTCTGTCCCATCACTCCCAGGAGTCCCTACGCAGCCTGTTTGGGATGCAGGTAAGTGCAAGGTACATGTGGAGGCTCGGAAAGGCCAGAAATGGGCCTGTTTCCAGCTTCCGGAGAGCCTCCAGAGCATGGGGATGCTGTTTTTGCTTTCCCAGAGGCTCAAGGAAAGCTGGGGAGGGCAAAAATGCCCCCTGCCATGGTTCAGGAAGCCAACTAGGCCACATCTACCATGGCTACCCAGCAACTGGTAGAGAACCTTTTGCTAAAAATTTTGAAGCCCACCCTGGGAAGAAATGGCAAGCCGCTTCCAAAAATCTTGTCCCCAAAACTTCAGAAAGCAGATGAGACAGTTACCTGGAGTCTATGTTGGTTTGAAGTTTCAAAAATAAAAATGAATGAAAAATATATCTTTACAATACTTTTGAAAGTACAAGCACGTAAACAGATGTGATGCTAGAGATTTTGTAGTGACAGTTACCAATGACTTATATTCTTTCTGTTTGTCTTTCTTTTACAGTTACAGTTTCCCATTTATTCCTGCTATTTGGAATTTGTGCAGTTTCAGCATAATATCTGATCCAACTTCAACTGTTAATTAAATTTTGCATAAAAATACTTCTATGAGATATAAGAATAATACTGATTTGTATTCAGTTATGTGCTTTCTTAATATACATTTCTTGTTTTCTGATTAAGATAATAAAGATATTTAATATAATTTACAAATGCTTTTTTTCCAAATGTTATTCCAAAGAAAAAAGGCAGCCTTTATTTAATTTTGACTATATGAACCAAGCATCTATCTTTAAATATTGGGACTAGCAACAAAATCACTTTGCAGAAATAAGCTACTTATTGCTAGTACAGTTTCTTAAAGAATACAATAGAGAATAATTGGATTAACAGAATAATGACTGAAATATAGCTGTTCTTACCTCAAGATCCGTAGTAATTTTCAGGATAAATCAATCAAACCAGTTTTGTACTATAATTAGATCTTGGCTTCTGTATATTATGTTAGAGAAGCCTTGTGTACAACCAAGACCATTGCCCATTATTGAGTAAAGTATATTTGACTGAATTCACATATCTTATTAAGCCATTAACCGTGGTTTATATACCATAATTACTAGGTTCATACAACAAATAAGGACAAAATGTAAAGACATGGGGCCTATCTACTTTCAGATTAATGAAGTCATGATGCCCATAGAACAAAAGTGTCAAACTCATGGCCCACTAGCTGGATGCATCATGCACTGGCCATGCCCGTGCCCAGTTTAGCAAAGGGGGAAAAAGTCACGATATGTCAAGTGATGATGCTGTGATGATGCAAGTTTCACACTCTGTCATAGAAGCTTCATAGGAAGTACACAATGTTTGTACTGTAGTCTTCCTGAGGGTATCAGTAATAATTGAATATATAACATTTGGTGCATAAGTAGGTCATCTGTTCCAAGTTGAATTTCCCTTTGGGACCACCATCATCAGCTTTTAGAAATAATCATCTAAGAAAGTCATTAAAGTTTAACATTAAAGTTGAATAAAAACTTGCAATGCCTAGAATATTCCTTAACCTTTGTACTCAGTAAGCACTTTATTGGGCTGTAACTGATGAGTTGAAAGATATACATTAAACCCATTTACTAAAACTTAATATATTAGTCAAGAGAATAAACATATACTTGAGAACATAAAAAGGAAATAATTTACACAAGCCCAACTCTTATTATTTTCAATATGACTTTTCTGAACTAATATACAAACTACAATATAAACTTTTTAAAGATGGACAAATAAAAATAAAAAGAATAAGAAAACCATCATTTTAATTCATGTGCTTTACCCACATTTAATAATTATATTAGACAAATGAATATGTCATTTTTAAAATCAATTCATAGATTACAAAATGAACTGGCTGGTACATTTTGTTAGAATACTAGAACCACAACATCTGAAACAATTTATATTCTTATAGCAATATAACATGAAGAATGAAATTTGAATGGGGGAAGGAAGAACAATAAATTTCATTTAATTAAATAGTTCTTCAACATTATTGTATATTAATATAGTGAAATGACCATGCTTTTCTTTAAAGAAAATTTCAGTGAGATTTTTTTTAAAAATCCAGGAAGAATATTTAGATTTTATCTTTTAAAAAAATAATAATAAAGATAATTCTCTTTATGTCTATGGAGATTCTAAATCACCCAGGTCATGATTATCTATAATGTGTCCCAAAAAGCTTCTTGGATGACAAGCAAAATGTTTTCAAACAAACCAAGAAAGTCCTGTTGCCTTTTGTAGAAAGCACCTTTGTAAGAGATAATTAGTTTTAGATTTTTCTACTTCATTTTACATTGCTTTGTTTCTAATTCAAATTCTATTCGGAACTGTACTATAAAATAAAATACATATTTCAGTAAACTTATTTCTAAGAAAGGAAAATAAACATTGTTAATCCTCAAGGAATTCTTGCTTATATTCCAATAAGTTACATTGCGTCTGATGAGATTCACTAAACTATTTCCTTAGTTGTGCATTTTGCTAGTCATATTTTTTTTAAAAAAACACAAACAATATGCAGGGCATTACACCATTTCTTATGCTAGTGTAAAGATTGAACTTTATATACCTAATACTATGATATTATGTATTGAAATTACATCATATATATTTGCATAAAGGAAAATACATTGTGTGTATACACATACTATTCAATAAGTAATAGGAGGCTTTGTGACAGTTTCCTTGTGATATACCTATAAAGAGGAATTTAGGGTAAGCAAAAAAAATCCTACTAATTTCCCATGGGAAATTTAATTTAATTGCCTTTAATTTACATGTGATTTAAATAAAATGTGATTTATGGATCTATTCTTCGATAATGTAAAATTTAGGCTTGAACAAATGTGAATTCTAGAAGGTGCTAAGTTATAAATACCTAAAAAAGCTCTAACCCTATGAAAGAAAATGAGTCTTATACTTGTTTTTGGTTGTCTGTCCAAAAGGTAGCAATGTGATTATGAAGAATCAGTTAATATGATATTACTATTTAGAAGGACTGTGCTATGTTTCAGATACTATTCCCCAATGATACTTCAAAGTTTGGAGCAAATGTAGGTCATAAAGGCTACAAATCAGCCATTGTTTGTTTGTTTGTTTAACGAGTATACAGCAACTGCAGAAAGCATCCACATGAACAGAGAAAAAGACATAGCTGCTTTATAGAGCTTCAGATAGGTATTATACTTATGCATCCAGCTACATCAAAGCACCTTCTTTGAATGAAATCTATTAGATATATTTCCGTCCTTTCTACCAGTTTGACAATTAAGATAGTTACAATAATATAATGTCCAAATTATAGGCTAAACAGCAATGCAACTTAAATACAGATAAATGTCAAACATTAAAATTAAATTAACAATTAACAACATGGAGAAAGACAAGTGTTTTTACTAAATGTTTAAGTACTAGGAGATCACATTCAGTTGATACATTTAGATCAAGTAAAGTTCTTCGCTACAGATTCTGACTCATTTCCCCTCATCTATGGTTGAAACCTGCTGTTGAAATCTGGTAGTGGCATGTCAAATCCAGCTTTTCCTTTCAGCCAAAAAGTCCTTTGCTGTCCTTTACCCTAGTAATCAACCAAAACAAAGCTCTTATACATAACATCAAAGGCAAAGTTATTCATATGTGGTAGATATCCCATAAGACTGCCTACAACAGCAAACCCCAAACTTTGTGGCTTGACCCAGCTTGGAGGGGGGGGAGAAGGGAACTGGCTACACAAGTGGCAGGCTGGTACACACACACATGAGTGCCCGCTCATGCAAGTTGAGTTGTACATGCACACATGTGCTTTGGACAACCACTCACATGGCTGAATTTCACCACAGCCAGTAGTGGACCATGGCTTGGGGATTGGGGATTCCTGACCTAGAAAACTGCCAGCTTTGTAGAAAGGATTAGTATTTAACACGATTAAAAGTATTCCTTCAAGGAATACTTGAAGAAGAAATGGAAAAAATTGAATCCTGGGTCTGCCACTTTTCACTATCTTAAACTTTCTTCGAAAGAAGACTGCTTCTGAAGAGCCATCCAATATTTCGGATTTACAATCATTCCTCTAACATTTATTTTGAATCTTCCTTGCTTAAATGGTCCAACGAAATGTCAATATCTGGTGATCTTTGTCTGATTTCACAAAAATGCCAAGATGGGTCAAACCTAGTTAGTAGTTGAGTGAGACCCAGGTTTCTAGACTATTTTGAAGAACCAAACAACCAAGCTAGATTTAACAAAAACTTTACTATCTCTCAAATAAAGCTCATCAATTTGGATGCATGTATATGTTTGTATGAAAAAAGCACAATTGTAATGTAGTGATTGCTCAAAGTATTGTTCAATTAACAAACGGATGCAATGTCAAAGATAGGGAGGGGCAATAAGACATATTTTCTATATTGCTGTCTTTCACAGTTATAGCAATGCTGACAAGCTCTGGTGAAAGCTGGAGTTTAATAGTATTCCAAAATTATACACTGTCAAAAGCTTTCCACGTCTAACATTTAACTATAAGGGGGATTAGCTATAATATATTGCATTCTGGCTTGATAAATCTTATATATTCCTCTAGCCCCTTCCCCTCTTTTCAGCTAGAGCAGAGGTGTCAAACTGGCGTCCCACAGGGCGGGATGTGTCACGCATAGGCCATGCCTATCCCAGCTCATGTGACAGCAACATGATGGAGTGAGTTTGACATCTGTGAGCTAGAGTATTCTTTGATTCTATAGAAGACATACCTTTATTTTTATAGTTCCTCTTTCTTGCAAATTAAAACCACCAATTCTTTGAAGAGCATTTGCTGTGGTGTTAGAAACATGGATTTGCAGAGCTAAGAAATGGAGAGGGAGAAAATTATTATGTATTTTTATTAAAATTTATGAATATATAAAGAAAAAATTAAAATTAAAAATACATAGACAAAGAAAAAAACAATGAAGAAAAACATATATAAAGAAATTATTCCCTCTCCTTCAAGACAAAAATAAACTTCAATAATTTATCCCCATGTTCAGTCTGCCACAGCATAGTTTATGTTTTGCTGGATATGCACTGATGAAAAGTTTTTGAAAGTATTCTACTTTAAATGGTTTTGTATAATAACATTTCCCCCTAGCTATTAACTCTTAATTAGAAATTAGAGTCCAGCTGTCAAATGGTCTTCATATTTAAGAATTAATCTGAAATCTTTCTCTTTTTTTCTAATAATGAGCAATCAGATGTTTTCTCTTCCTGTCATAGCTGTCATTCTGCTGCTTGCCTCACATTGCATCTTTTGCCAGCTTGACATAAGCAACAAGAGAAGGGGAGAGACTGGAATGTGGGTTTTTAGCGGGTTGGGCTGGTTTGAAGCAGAGTCAGTCCTGATTCTGGAAGTACAATAATCAAGCACAAGGTCAGCAAAAGGAATGTGGAGATGGGAAAGGCACAAACTCAGGGTTCGTTTCCAAAGAACTTTTAATTGGACATTAACTGACAACGGGATAGGGCTATGGGGGGGGAGTGGCCAGGGGGAAAGGG